AACCAACTAATTAATCAAATAAACAAATTGAATTAATAAAAAATTATAATAATTGAAGGTTTGAAAAATAAAAAAAGATGTATATGACAGATATATTTATCATTAGAATTATAAACATTGGTAAGTATTAAATTGAAAAAAAGTAATTTAACAGGGAATATTCAAATCAATTATTTGTCTAATTATTCCAACATTGTTTTTTTCTATTTTTTGGAACAATGCTATTTATAATAGCATTTGTAATTATTGTATTTATGAAAATAACGTCAGGATATTTTTGTTGTAGAAATTTTATCGAAGAATAAAAACTACCTTATATTCAATCCATAATTTTTTTTATTTAATGTCATAACATTTCTGTAATTGTTTCATTCATTCTGTAGGTTGTTAAAGATGGTATGACTATTATTGGTCTAACAAGAAATAAAATAAAATAATTATATTTTAGAATAAAAAGTAAAATGAAATACCATTTAGAAAAAATGTATAGACTCTGTTGTTGTAAAAATCTTAAATTTATAATTATTTTGAACAATACTGATGATATGATGAGGCAAAGGAGAAAAAAACTATTTTTAGTCAAGAACTTCAAAAAATGAATAGGAAAATTTATGTGGACGAATTAAAATACGGTATGGATTTCCATAACTAATTAAATTTATAAAGAAGATATAATAAAAATAGATTTATCAGCAAGGGCAACTTAAAATAAAGTATCCAGAACTAAGAAAAAAAAGAATCAGGAATAATTTAAATATTATAAAAGTTCTAGAAAATGACTTAAAACAAAAAAAAAGAAAAGATTGAAAAAAGAACGAACAACTGGAAATGAATACTACCCCATGGACAGTGAGTTTGACGATTACGATGAATCATTAGTAGAAATTAAAATAATCTTTATTGGAATTGATAAAAACCCACCACAAAAATTAGTTGATTTATATATTCAATCAATTGTAAGCGCTCCTACTACATCAGCTGCTGATGGTGATGATATTAAACCTTGTATTACTGATGTTAAAGGTGTTCAAACCAAATTAACACTTACATGTTCTGGTTTGTATATTTTTTGTTTTTAAATGTAAAGTGTTTTAATTTACATCTATATTGAACGTTTGTAATAACAAACTGATAGACGGAAAAGACAAATATCGTTCATTGACAACAACATATTTTAAAAACGCAAGTAAAGTGTTTTTAACATATAGCTTAACAAATGGTGATTCTGTTAGAACATTACAAAGTTGGTTAAAAGAAATTCAAAGATATTGTGATCCTGATGTAGATGTAGGAATTTTAGGATTTGGTGTTGAAAGTGAAGAGAACAAAGAAATTTTCAATTCAGGTAAATCTTTTGCAGATGAAAATCGATTTGACCATTATTTAGTTAATTTAAATGATAAAGATAATGCAATTCAATTTTTAAAAACAATGATAGAAAAACATGTACCAATAGAACAAAAAACTGAACAAACACCATTTCCAGAGAAAAAGTCTGGATGTTGTGTTCTATTATGATTGTAATGATTTTAATGTAATGGATGTTTATGAATTTTTTGGTTCTTATTATGTCTTTTTTTTTGTTTTCTTTATTTTCTTTTCGGTTATTATCAAAAAAAAAAAATCTTTTTTTTAAAAGAGAACTTGGAATCATTAAAAAATCTTTTCTTTTTTTATATTAGTGTAATGACTGAAACAGAACTAAATCAACAAAATATTCATGACCTTCAACAATTGTGCCAACAACTACTCTTTCAGTTAAATGATTCTGATAATGAAAAATTGAAAACTAAAATAGAAATGCAATCAGCATTAAAAGAATTAAATGAAGAAAATGAACAACTAAAAACACAAATATTGGTTCTCAATCAAAAAAGGTTTGATTTAGAACATTCACTTCATGTAAATGAATCAGAAAAAATAGAAATTCAAAAACAATTTGAAAAAGAGGTTGAAGTACTTAATGAAAAAGTAAAGAAAGTCAAAGAGAAAAAGAAAGCTATTAATAAAACTGTTAATGACTTACAAAATAAAATCAACTTTAATAAAATTCAAAGTATCTCTTTAAATGAAACATTAAAAAGTCAAATAAGTAAAAGTGTTAAATTTGAAAAACAAATTAATGAATTAATGAATCAAATTACATATATAAAAAACAGTTTTAAGTATATAAATGAAATTATAAATGATAAAGAGTTATTTGAAAATAATCAAAATGATTTTCAATTAATTAATGATAATGAATTAAAAGGATTAATATTACAAACTTTTCATATGGTTCAAAAACAAGTTAATGATTTAAAAATGTCAGAGTCTAAAACTATTCTATTTCAACAAGAAAATGAACAATTAAAGAATTTAATAGAACAAAAAAATACTAAACTTGAAGAGTTAAAAAAATGTAAAAAAGAATTTATTGAAGAAAATACTTATTTAAAAGGAGAAAATAAAGAATTAAATGGTATTATTAAAGAACAACAAAAACAAATTGAAAGTCTTAAAAAAGAAAACATATGTATAAAATATGAAAATGAAATCAAAGAAGAAAAAGAACAAATAAATAAATATGATGAAATGAGTTTTAACATTAATTTAACAAGAATTGAAAAAAAATTTAATTGTAAAGTTGGTTATTTAAATGGTGGTATTATTTTTGATAATTATCATATCTTTAAATTTAAATCAATTCAAAAAGATGAACATATTTGTATTATTAATGAAGGATTTCCTGTTAAAATTCATTTATGTGAAAATAAAGAACAAATTATTATTCCTTTTGAAGATAATGATAAACAATTAAAATTAAAAGGAGGAAATGAAGTTATTATTGGGTTTAATGATGAAATTATAAATATTGGTAAAGAATGTAGCCTAACCTTTATAGACTATTCTCCATTTTGTAGAATACATATGTTTGATGGTATTATTGATTCAAAAAATAGTATTTTTCAACATGAATGTTTTGTTACAGTTTTTGATAAAAAGAAATCTGTTGAACCATTAATGATTGGAGGTCATGTTATTCAACCAGGAAAAGATTTACTTGAAATTATTAATATTAATTCTATTTCTAAACCATTAATTGTATTAACTGTAGAGTCAATAGAAACTCCAACAAAATCAATGGATGCTTATTCAATGCAAACTGTTTTTAAACCTAAAATAAAAGAAGGAGAATATTTTTATATTGACTCAACACTAACATATACTTCAGAAGGTATTCCTTATATGTTTCCAATTCCTTATAAAGATGAATCTTCATATTTAATATATTTTATAAGACCAGGATATTCAAATGATTATATAACAATACAAGTAATTGAACAAATTGATTAAATTTTAATTTATTTATTATTTTTTTCTTTTGAGTCTAATATCTTTTTAATTTATTTGATTCTTCTTCTTATGTCAAACTCAGTTCATTACTTTTTAAGGATAAAACCTTACACCGAAATATCTTCTTTATCAGAATTTAATTCAATTATTAAAACAAATTCTCGTGTGGTTGTTGATTTCTATGTAACTTGGTGTGGTCCTTGTAAAATGATTAGCCCAATCTTTATTGAACTTGCACAAGACTATCCCCTTATTAAATGCATCAAAGTAAATGTAGATGCTGCTCCTGAAATAGCAAGACAATGTAATATTCGTTCAATGCCAACTTTTAGATTTTATAGACAAGGAGGGTTGGTAAAAGAATTTACTGGAGCTAATCCATCTCATTTAAAATATGAATTTTCCCATCTCTAATAATAACATTTTTTTTATTATACTTGTGTTATTGAAATATTTTTTTTTTCTAAAATAAACTTCAATTTGAAAATAAAGAATCAAAATTAAAGAATAAAGAAAAAATAATCGAGTTTTTCCATCTTTAAAAATTAAAGCCAATCAATCAAATCTTCTATCCTTCTTTTCAAAAAAATATTTTAGTTCTTCTTTAATGTTAGTACAACTAGTAGAATAAAAATATTAACAATAACTTAAAATAACTGAAGTTAATAACATTTTTATTAATTACTATAAAAGAAATTTGTTATGAGATAAAAAGAAAAAATAAAAAGAATAAAAAAAAATAGTTCTGTGAACTAAAAAAATAGAAACAAAATAGGTAATGAGTATCATTAGTCTTATATTATTAGTCACATTAACCCGTGCTTTTACCACTGAAATTGCTGGAGGAAAAATGGAATGTTTTATGGAGAAAATAGAAAAAGGAACACATATTGCAATTTATTATCAAGTTATTGAAGGAGGAAATAACGATATTAATTTTGTTATGTATAATCCAAATGGACAAATATTTGTTGAAGAAAAAAGACAATCAAGTGGAATGGTAGATAAAGATGCATTATATTCTGGTGAACATAAAATCTGTTTAGATAATAGTTATGCATCATTCAGTACAACTAAAACAGTTGCTTTGTTTATGGATTTTTCTTCACAAGATACTATTGCAAATCAAGAACAAGCTGATAAAGTTGAAAATTTAGCCAATGAATTAAATCATCTTCTTACACATGCTAGAATTGAAGTTGTTATGTTACAATTAAAGTCACAAATTCATCAAGAGAGTTTGTTTTTATTTTAACCTAACATATTTACTCTATTGATAATACTTATATAATTAGTGCTTCAACAAGCCTATTCATGGAGTTCATATCTTTTTGTTCTTCAAGCTATTTTAATTTTGGGAATGTCTCTTGTTCAAACATACTTCATTAAGAAATACTTTGAAGTAAAAAGAACCATTTAATTTAATTTCCTTATATCATCTTGTTATTCTATTAGTTCAATTCAATAATATTTTACTCTCTTTAATAAATTGTTATATATATCGTAAATTAAAAAATGAATTTTTTTGTTAAAAAATATTAGAATAGAATCATTTTCAAGAAGACTCTTTTGTTTACATAGAAGAGAAAGGAACTTTATAATGAAGTCCATTATATTCTTAAGGGTTTACAACAAAACCACAAAGATCTATAAAAGAAGAGTGTATGTCATCTCATCAATATGATTTTCTTTTCAAAATTCTAATTGTTGGAGACTCTGGAGTTGGAAAGACAGCTATTTTACAACGATATTGTAATAATACATTTGATGAAAGATATATTTCAACAATTGGAGTTGATTTTAAACCGATGATATTAAATGTTGGTGAAAGAACAATTAAATTACAAATATGGGATACTGCTGGTCAAGAAAGATTTATGAATATAACTGCTGCATATTTTAGAAATACTACTGCTGTAATAATTGTTTATGATGTTAATAATCGAGATTCACTAAGTAAAGTATATTCATGGTATGGAGAAGTAAATGAAAAAACAACGCAACAAAATCCAGTAATATTTTTAGTAGGTAATAAAAAAGATGAAAATTTAAATTCATTAATTGATATTGAAGAAGCAAAAAATATTGCATCTAAATTAGGTAATATTAAAGTAATGGAATGTAGTGCTAAAGATAATATTGGAATTAAAGAACTTTTTGGGAGTCTTGTTGATACTATTTTAGAAAAAATAGATAATAATTCATATTTACCAAAAGAAAGTCAATACGTCGATGGACTAACTATAGGTGAAAAAAAAGAATCAAACTGCTGTTAATTAAAAATAAGAAATAGTTTATTAAAAATTCATATATTAAACTATTATGCCATTTCAATTAAAAGAATTTTGAAAATATTATTTTAAATATTTTTATCAATTAAACAATTTTTCAAAATGAAAAATCTTTTATTTTTTCTGATTTTAATTTTTTTAAAAAAGGAAAATATTAAAAAAACCCTATTTTTTAAAAACAATCAAAAACAATCAGTTATGAAGAGAGATATTAAACACAGTAAGAAGAGAATTGACCTTGAAGAAATTATTAACCCATTAAATGGAAAACCTTATAGTGAAAATTATTTTAAATTACAAGAAAAAATAAATGCATTACCAGTGAAACAATATGAAAAAGAAGTTATTAATGAATTAAAAAAAAATAGAGTACTTATTCTTGAAGGAGCAACTGGATCAGGAAAAACAACTCAAATTCCTAAATTTTGTTTAAATCCAGAAATTTGTGGTGGGAAAGGTGTTTGTTGTACACAACCAAGAAGGGTTGCAGCTATTTCTGTTGCTCAAAGAGTTGCAGAAGAAATGGATGTTCAATTAGGAGAAGAAGTAGGTTATTGTGTACGTTTTGATGATTGTAGAAGTGATAAAACGAAATTAACATATATGACTGATGGTATGTTATTGAGAGAATTAATGGGAGATCCTAAAATTCAAAAGTATGGAGTTATTTTACTTGATGAAGCACATGAACGTACAGTATCAACAGATATATTATTTGGTGTATTAAAATCATTATTAGAAGAACGAGAAGATTTAAAAATTGTTGTTATGAGTGCTACTTTAGAAGCTACAAAATTTAAAGAATATTTTGATAATGCACCTAATATGTCTGTTGAAGGAAGAACATACCCTGTAACAATTAATTATAGTAGATATCCAGAAAATGACTATTTTGAAGCTGCAGTTAAAGTTGTTTCTAAAATTGATAATGAACCAGAAGGTGATGTTTTAATTTTTATGACTGGTGAAGAAGAAATTGAAGAAATGGTTGCAAGAATCAATTCAATGAAAACAAAAAGTCATATGATTGCTTTACCTCTCTATTCTGCTTTACCACAACAAGAACAACAACGTGTTTTTGAGAAAGTTAATGGAAGAAAAGTAATTGTTTCAACAAATATTGCAGAGACATCAGTTACTATTGATGGAATTGTTTATGTTATTGATACTGGTTATGTTAAACAAAAAGTATATCTTCCATCTACTCGTGTTGAAACATTACAAGTAACTGCAATCAGTCAAGCTGCTGCTCAACAACGAGCTGGAAGAGCTGGAAGAACTAGACCAGGTCAATGTTATCGATTATATACTGAAAAAGGATTTAATGAATCATTACCTAAACAAACTGTTCCTGAAATGTTAAGAACAAGTCTTGCAAGTGTTATTTTACATATGAAGAAAATAGGAATTAAGGATATCCTTCATTTTGATTATCTTGATGCACCATCTCCACAAGTAATGGTTAGAGCATTAGAACAATTATATTATCTTAACGCTTTAGATGATAAAACAAATCTAACTGAAATTGGTTCAAAAATTTCTGAAATACCTGTTGACCCTCAATTAGCAGTAACACTAATTGCATCAATTGACTATAATGTTGTTGATGAAATATCAACAATAGTATCTTTACTTAATGTTCCTAGTATATTTTATAGACCTAAGGAACAAGAAGAAAAGTCAAAGGCTGATGCTGCAAAAGCATATTTTAATGACCATGAAAGTGATCATATTACATTATTAAATACATACAATGCATGGATAGAAAATGGAAAAGATTCAAAATGGGCATGGAATAATTATGTTAATCAAAGGGCATTAAAACAAGCTGAGTCAATTAAAAACCAACTATTAGGAATTCTATACAGAATGGGAGTTAAACAACAACAAAAACCTATTGAAGATGTTAGAAAAAGAAAAGAATTGATTCGAAAGGCTTTATGCAAAGGATTCTTTATGCAAAGTGCTCATCAAGTTAAAGGAGGATATCAAATAGTTTGTGATAATAGAATTGTTTTGTTACATCCATCTAGTTGTATTGGAAAGAGAGAGTGGATTCTTTATAATGAATATGTTATGACAAAGAGAGAATATGTTCGTACTGCATCTTCAATTCAACCTGAATGGTTATTTGAAGCATCTCCAAAATATTTTGCACAATTAGATAAATTTAAAGAATCGGAAACAACAAGAGCATTAAAACGAGTGAAAAGAGCAATGAATTGATTGATTTTTTTGTTATATATACAAAGATGTTGAATGTTAAAGATAAGTGCCAATGGTGCAAATTAAAAATAGAAAAAAGAAAAAAGGTTAAAAAGAACTTAAAATTTCTTACCATTAGATGTCTGATAATCCTCAAAGGAAATATAATATTGAAGCACATGCCTTTGTCCCAAAGAATAAAAGAGCTCCAGAAGTTATTGTTGCACCTCCAGGATTTCCAGCTGAATATCTTGAAATGTTTAATTCTGCAGATAACGATACAAAGAAAAGTATTATTGAACAATTTCAAAGTATTCAACAAGAAGAGTTGGAAAATAATCTTATTCCAACTGATGAAGATTTGTTAGAGTACAACAATAATGATATTGAACTTTATGAAGAAATTGGAGAAGACGTTAACCTTCCTCAACCTCCCAAACAAAGAATTGAAATTTCAAGAAAAAGTTTTGAAGAAAGTCTTACAAATTTAAAACCAAAACATGAAAAAGGTATTTCATTTATACAGGCAAAAGAGAAAATATCAAATATATCAAAAATGTTAGGTTTAAATGTTTCTGCTTTAATGTTAGTTTCAGCTTCTAAATACGTCGAAGATCAAATGAATGATAATGAATATTATTCTTTCTTCTTAGCTTATTTGAGTTATACCCATCCTGAGTATTTTTCATGAGAATGACGTTTATTTTTTAATTTAATTGTAAGAAATAATTTCATTTTTTGTTATTATTTAATAAAAAAAAAATAAAAGATTTCAAATTCATTTATTTCTTCTTTTTAGTAATGAACGAAAGAACTACCGTCACAACTAACACAATAATTGTTGTAATAAATAATTGTGGTTTATTAAAGTTGTAAGTTGAATCAAATGAAAGAATAGGTGTTACTTGTGAAATATAAAGATCAATTCCAGTTCCTACAACAATAGTTGTTGATTCCATTGTACCTGGATGAGTTTGAAGGGTATCAATATCAAGATCAATTTCTTTTGTTACTAAGTTTTCTTTAGTTATATTGAGATTTGCTGAATAAGGAAGTTCTCCCATTTCAGCATCTTCACGTGTCATTTCAAATGGTGCTTTTGTTCCAAGTAGTCTGCGTGGATTAAGTATGTAAATATGTTTTTGTGAATAAATAACAAATGCTTTTTGTGATACTCCTAAAGAAGAAATAGAGATTGTAGCAATATCAATGAAATAAGGAATTGTTGTTGATTTTATGTTAGTTGCAATTTCTGGAAGATGATAAACATCATAAGAAGTTGCTTTCCAATCAGTTTCTTTTTCCCACATTTCAATTGTTAAAATAACGGTATTTTTAGGGGTGTTAATAAAACATGCTGCAAGTCCTTGACTTAATACACATTCAGTCTTCAATGCTCCTTGAGGTAATTTAACACTTGAAATAACTTTACCTGTAATTATTTCAGTTACTTGAATTGTATTTTCATCAACAATAATTGCTAATGACTTTAATGCAAATGGAACTTTGACACTTCTATCAATTTGAGCTTTCCCAACAACACCATTAACTTCTTCTGGACTTACAGTGAAAATTTGTTTAGACTTATAATTTCTTCTTGGAATAGCAGTTTTATTCTTAATTTGATAAAGTTCTGTATTAGATGCAATAAATTTACCATCTACATTACTACCAATTGAATAAACATTATTATTAATATCAATAACAATAACCCCTCCTTCAATCTTCTTTGCAACTTTAATTTTTGGGGTTTTAATGATGTTATTAGTAATAATATTTCCTGACATATCAACAACACCAATTTCTTCTTGTAACAATTCTTTTGTAACTTTATCTTCAGAATAAATTCGTTCATCATAATTACTAAATAAAATATATTCTCCTGTTCCTATAACTGATTTTATAAAAACTTCCTCATTATTTAAAAGAGCGTAGATATTGCCTGATTTTCTTATAAAACAAAAAACTCCTCTTGTTATAAGAGAATTAACAATAATTGTGTCATCTCGTTCAAAAACAACCTCTTTTGCTCTATTTAAAACACGAATTTTACCTTTATTAACTTGAACACAAACACGTTCATTTTGTGCGTCACAATCAGTTTCTGAAGCATAATCTTCTTTAATGAAATACTTCTTTAAATATGAATAATCTTCAACTTTAATAGGAGTTTGTTCTTTTATTGACAAAATACCATCCGAAGTCATAATTCCATCTTTCATCAACCTTATAATACCTTTTTGGTTTATTGAAGTTATTAATGAACCATCTCTAAGAGCTCTTTTTTCCATTATGTTATCCTTTAATAAATAAAGGAAATCACTAGCCTCAATATCTTGTGCAGTAATATCGATGGTATATTCTAATTCACCTCTTGAATCAAAATATGAGATAGAGTCATTATATAAAACAAAAACACCCAGTGTTGAGGCAGTAACTTTTTTACCATTTTTACCAATACTTCTTCTCCAAGCTATTTAATAATTAAAAACCATCATTTAAAACGTTAAATAAAAAAATTCATCACCAATAAAAAACTTAATGAAAAAAAAAGTTAATAAACAAACCAATATGTCCTTTAATATCACTTTTAGAGAGAATTCCTTCTTCTGTTGAATAAAAGAAAATGTCTTTATTTATTGCAACATTGTCAACAGTTCCTAGTCCTTTTTTATAGTACTGATTTTCAACACGAATAGAATTAGTACAAATTACAATTGCAATGAATATAAGAGGGTTAATCATTTTTACTTTTTCAGTTTTTATTTTTTCTTTTTTTTAAAGACAGAAATAATTTAGAATAAATTTATTGATTTTCACAGTAATTCTTATGCGTTAAGACTATTAGTACTTGAACTTTTATTCTTTATAAGAAGCCTTTCCTTTGTGTAAAAAATATCTATTATTTCTTTAAGTTCTTTAGAATATGAACTTTTAATGAGGTAGTTATTGGTAGTGAGTGATTGTAAATTTTTGAATTAGTAAGTCAGACAGAAGATTATAGTACTAATCATACTAACTAAATGACTAATTAAATGGTGGATATAAAACCACCAATTATAGTCCAATTCTTTTTAAACCCCAAAAACTAGAATTGCTATATTTCTAAAATGATTTACAGTCTATGAGCAATATATTAATGACAATAACAATCTAGTCTTAATATTTGTATCAAAAACAAATGTTATGAATTATTTAATAATTAGAGAAGTTGTTAAAAGTACTGTTATGTTTTCATGTTATTCTTAATATTTTCAAAAAGTTGTTCTGTATTTAAGAAAAATGAGAGTTTTGTAGGGTACAAACTCGCAAATTACCATAGTTACAATAAAGAAAAACAATAAGAAAATATTAAGAATTAAAAAGAAAACTATTAATAGTTTTTTATAATTCTATTTTCATCTTGAATGGAGATTTATTTAAATGAGTTTTATTAAATAAACTATTCTATAAATTTACTGAATATCCTCAAGAATTTACAAACTCAAATCATTTATATTTATTTTTAGTATCTATTATTTCTTTGAAACAAAAAAGAAGATTTTATTTTTTTTTTGAAGTTGTATTAACTCCTTCTCCTAACAAAGAATTTTAGTTGTTGGAATTTATTCTTCTCAAAAAACCAACGAAATTTTAATCTAAATATAGTAAATATGTTAAAAAGTTAATCAAATTGCATTAACCGATTGAATTTTTGAAATTCCACAGCCTAAAAAGACCATTCATTTTCACTTAAAATGTTACGGCTCGTTTTTATTTTTCAAATATAAGTATAACCTAGCTATAATTAAGTAATATTTAAAGTAACTCATTAATAATTAGTCTTCGTTTTCATCGGGGATAATATATGTCAGTTATTTCAAGTCAATTAAACAAATGTTATTCATTCCAATTATCTGATAAAAGTACTTGTTCCTTAAGTCTTTCTTCAGAAGAAGAACAATCTCCTCGTTTTAGTGGTTGTCAAGCTCTTCCATTACCAATTTCTTTTTCACATTCAAATCATAAATTTCATCATTCTTTTAATAATAGTTATACCCAACCATCATTATTTAAAGCTGTTTCTCCATTGAAAAAGAAGAAATCACAAGAAGATTCATTAAGAGAAATGTTTTTTTCACCAAAAAATACTCTTTTATATTGTTTCTGTGATTCAGTTTGTTAATTTATCAAAATATTTTGAAAAGATTTAAAACTAATATGTAGTTATTAAAACATGATGTTAATGTTAGTTATATTGGATGTTTAATTAACTATTATGCATCTCGTGGAAAGGTGATTGAATTATTAGAAGCTATAGCTTTCAAAGAGATTGATGAAACGTCTTATTGTAATGAGTTATTTAGAGGAAATACTCCATTTACAAGAATTTTTAATAGTTATACATTTAAATTTTGTGATGAACTTTTAAAAGAAGAGTTTAAAATTTATAGTGACATTCACATAAATCAAACAGAACATATTTTAAAAGAAGGAATTTGGGTAGATAAAATGTCAATATCTAAAAATATTATTCATTTATTAACAAATTTTGTTAATAAATGTCCTTCTTATATACCTCCTCATTTTAAAACAATATTAAGAAAAATATATCATAGAGTGGCTCAAAGTCGTTCAAAAATTGAAGCTAGAAATACATTTTTAACATTATTTTTTTTAAGATATTGTTTTAGACCATTCTCAAAAGTCCCTTCTGTACTTAAAATTCTTCATGAGGCTGTTCATCGATATTCACAAGAATCAAAATATTCTACTGATTCTAATAATATTGAACTTCGAACTGCAATTAATTCATTGCTAAGTTATATAACTAACACTCCAGATGAATCAAGTTATGGATTAATTAATAGAGCTATGCAAGAAATTTCATTGGAACAGATGGTTAATATTTTTAAAACTGAAATGGGTACTATAAGTAAATTTTATGATGGGGACTTTAATGAAATATTTAATATTGTTAAAGGAAAATATGATGGAATTCATTCTATTAATCCAGAAATGGCAGTTTCTAGACTAAATACTTGGGAAGAAGAAAAATTAACTTTAGCATCTCAATTGAATAATGAACTGAAACAACAGATTGAAAAACTTAAAAGGTACAATAAAATATTAAAAAATCGAATTAATACTTTAGCTGCTCTTTGTAATTAATAGTTATGAATTTATTGCATTTATTTTTTTTAGAATAATATAACAAAAACATTTTGTATATAAATTTGAAATAATCTCATTTGACTTTGTTCTTAAGAAAAAACAAATAATGACTATTAGAAAATTGACTCTAATTAAAAATGTGAAATGATTTTAATGTACAATAAGATAAAGAATAACAATAAACTAGAAATTAAATTGATAATTTCTGAGTAACTTAAGTTTTTACGTGTGAACCTTTAATCAATTTTTTCATTTTGTCGAAGATTAAAGAACCATAAATCCAAAGGAAAAAGATGTTTATCTAAAAAATAACATTGAATGAATATCTATTTAAAATAATTATTTTACCAGTGAACGAAACTAGTTATAAAAATAGAAACTTGTTCATAATTTAGAACGTTCCTAACCTGACTTGATATTATTTGTTCCATACAGAACAAATTATTATAGAAAAGATGTTGGAATCTAAAAACTTCTTGTATGACTTGGGAAAATAACTATTTTAAAAGCCTGACTTTATATAAACCATTAAATCTGTTAATATTATTCCACAATCATCTTTTGAATGTGTTCTGATTCTGTTGAAGTTTCTACTTCATTGTCTCATAGTGAAAATTCTATCCATGAAGATACATTAATCAAAAATCCATTTATTACAACACCCCCTACAAAGAGAGAGAAACATACTCTTGGCACGAGGTATATTAGGAATAGAAAATGTATTCAAGAAGCTGTATTAATAGGTATTCTTAGTAAACATTGTTCTATTGTTTATGAACGTCCTAAGAAAAGGTCTAGTTTAACTCATCAGTTGTTTAAAATCAAAACATTGATTTTTGATAATGAAGTTTTTGATGTAGAAGCATTTCTTGAAAGACAAACAAAAGGCGTTTATGAAAATGCCATAGAGAGTGGATTAAGTAAAAAGAATGTAATAAGGAGAGTTGAAAACGAAAAGATCGTAACTCTTCTTGACTTTCTTGTAGACATTTGTCTTGATCTTGGTTATTTCTTTGAAACAACTCGAATGAGAAATTCATTGTCTCGTACTAAAGTTGATTTTGTTGAAGCTGTTTATTATAAAGGTAAATTAATTATTGATGATGAATTAGTAAAAAAAGCTGGTTCATTAATATCTACTCATTTGTTCTCACTTACTACTGCTTCTGAAAAAGAGTGTACTATACTAAAAGGTGATGAAAATATTAAATCTTTCTTTTATAGCCGTCCTGTATTTAAACCCTCCACAATCTTCAATACTAGCAATATGTCAATCACTATTTAATAGTTGTTAATTCATATTCGCTTTTGATTTCGTTTCATTTTTATTATTTTTATAATTGTGTTTAAAATTGTTTCTCAAACATTGGAAAATTTGATTTTAATTGATTTTTTCATAATTTAGAATATTCTTTTAATTTTATTTTTTATTTTTTTTTTTCAGATTATTTTTCTCTTTTTAATTGCTTTATTTCCAAATATACAGTATTAAAATAATTCGAATAACTTTTTTTTTGAATAAATCAAGTAATTATTTTCTCTTTTTGTTGTTATTGTTATTTTAATTTTAGAAAGATTAAAATAATGATTTTTAAAGATAAACTCAAAAAGAATCAAAATATTATTGTTATGTTTATTTTCCTGTTATCAGTTGTATTACTTTGTCATGCTGACAGTGATGTACAAAAATACACTATTCATAGTAGTATTCTTAGTCAGGATATAGAGTATACTTTATACAAGCCTGATGGATATTCAGATAGTATTAAATATCCAATAGTATATTTACTCCATGGAATGGATAGTGATTGTCAAAGCTTTTATCAATATGGTTTGAAAGAAACTCTTGATGACTATATTACAAATAAAATTATTAGACCAACATTATTTGTTACACCAAATGCATTTAATTCTTTCTATGTTGATAAATATGATGGTACTTTTAATTATGAACAATTCTTCTTTGAAGAATTTATTCCATATGTTGAAACATTATTTTCAGTTGATACTAATCAATCAAATAGAAGTATTGCAGGTATATCAATGGGTGGTTATGGTGCTGCTCTTTATTCTTTAAAACATAAAGAGCTATTTTCTGCTTGTTCTCCAATGAGTCCAGCTTTATTACCAGAAAATACTTTAAAATTATTAGATGATAATAATGACATTAAAAAACTCCTTTTATCAATTTTTGGAAATGAAGAATATTTTAAACAAAATAATTTTAATACTATTGTAAAATCATCATCTAAAGGTACGTTTACTATGCCATATCGTGTTTGTATTGGTAAACAAGACTATTTATATCAATTTGTTATTCCTTCAAAAACTATTATGGAAAATGCTGAAATGAATAATTATTGGTATATAGGAGATGGAGAGCATAATGTTGAATTTTGGAAGAGTCAAATTCCTGATACACTCAAATTTCTTGACCAAAAAATTTTAGAAAATACTGATAACAGTGGTACCATTGGTAATGGTATTAATTCTTGGATTTTATTAATTTCCTTAATCTTCTGTTTGATGATTTAAAATACAAGTCATTAACTAAGTAACAAATTAATTATTTTATGGTTTTACATAATAATTAGATATTTTCTTTTTATTTTATTTTTTTTTCTACATTTGCAATGAATATTTTGTTTTGATTCGTCATTTCATTTTTCTTATATTTTTTGAGGATCTACGTTTTTTTTTCTTTATTTGACTAGAAGTGGTAATTAAAATATGTCTGATTTATTACATCCAACATTTTTCAATAATAGAAAAGAATTAATACCAGAACAAAAAGAAAATGAAATGTTAAATATGATATATAAGAAGGCAGAAGAAATATTGTATTTACAACAAGATTGTATTGACTCAAAAAAACACCAACTCCAATATATTGAAAAACAGTTAGAAGAAAATAAGTTAAAACAACAAGAAATGATTGATTCAATTAGAAAAAGTTTAGAATGGCAAAGAAAATCTAATGAAAATTTAGAGCTTAAAACCAAATTAGGAGATGCTGTAAGTTATGAAATTAATCAAAAGAAACTCTTTAAAACAAAACTTGAAATAAAAGAGAAAGACTTAAATAAGGAATATCAAAAATGTCAGTATGAGATATTCAGATGTAATCAACGATTGATAAAACACTTTTGGATTATGAGAGAACTTAGTCTAACTTCTTTTATTAATTGTAAAAGATCATTATATACTGAGTCTATAGAAATTTTTTATGATAAAATTTATATAGAACAATCAAGTACTGAAAATGAAATGCCTGATGAATCTCATATACTTTGTTTTGAGAAAAGATCATTTGAAATTGGTAAATCATCAAATAAAATTAGTCCTTCAAAAAAGGTGGAAGTAACTCAACCTTCATTTCAAAAGAGAAAATTTGAAGTTTCTCATTCACCATCAAATAAAGCTTCTCTTCCAAATCAAGTAAAACAAACAAATAAATCTATTTGTCCTCCTCTTCCACCTAAAGCAGAAAGGTTTAATCAAGAAAGAGAATTGACACCATTACAAAAAGAAATTATAAAAAAAAATACTACTACTTTAGATAAAATTGTGAATGTTTTTAGTGAAGACACTATCCGTAAAGGATTAAAAATTTATACTGATGTCTCTAAACAAATCAATGACACAGGGGCAACTCCATATGTTAGAACAGTTACTCACACTATTGGTAAAGTGACTGATGTTGCGAAAGAAATTCCTGTAATTAGAAGAGTAGCAAAACCATTACATTATTGTATTAAAACAATTGAAGGGGGTAGCATTGCTTTGCAACATGAGCAAGATGTGAATGAATATTTAGATAATTATATTGCTGAATATAGGAAGATTGAATCTGGAGGAGGTACTGCATATGCAATCTCTCAAACAACAATTAAGACAACATGTAGTGTTTGTGAAAATATATTATTTCCAATATTTGTTCCATTTTATGATTAAATGTGAGTAGAAATATGTTTTTAAATTTCTTACAATTAAAAACTGAAAACTTAAAAAGTGAATTGGTAATGACAATAACTGAATGGGTAATCTTACTTTTTTCTGTTTCATGTTTAAGTGAAAATATAGTTTGTTCAAGTCTAATGCAAATACAAAACAAAAAAGCAAAAATAATTTTTCGTAATGGTTGTAATATTCAGACAATTAATAATTCAAGTATAGAGTTTATAGGAAATGGAATAATTAACAAAGTTATTCATTCAACAATAGTTTCTCATAATTATTTTATTTCTATATTTGAAAGTGAGTTTTCTTCTATAGAGATTATTAATGGTATTGTTCTTATTGGGTCTAATGAAAATAAGTCAAACAATATTTCATTTACTGAAATTACTTTAATTAACTCTTCTCTTTTATTCTCTAATACTACTACTGACTCTATTATTAATGTAGATACTTTAAATATTCATGGTAATGTTAGTTTAAAAGAAATAATTATAGGAGATAGTTATGATATAGAGATTCATAACTTATGTATTGTTGGAATACCAATTGTTGTTTTTAAATCATATTCTGTACTATTAAAATGGTTTAATACGACTTCAATTTGTGGTTTTTATAGAGTCTTACAAAATAAAAACCAAATTGTTTATTCTCAAGAAGGCTCATATTTTGAAACTCAAAGTCAGATTCAATGTATCTCAAGATGTTCTAGAAATAAGATTTGGTTTGGTAAATTGATAGAAATAGAAAGAAATTTATGTAACTTAAATAACCAAGTTAGTATAGTTGAGTTAAATTGTAATATACTTTATAACAGCTCTATGTTACAAAATATTGTTTTTAATTCAAGTTTAATTATTAGAAAAGGTTTATTACACCAAATTCATGATATTCATATTCAACAACTTATATTACAATCACCAGATATATCATATATAGAATTCTTTAATGATACTATTAGTACTGTTATTATTGATAATCCAGAAATAATCATTTCTCTTTATTATACAAACATTACTGTATTTCAAACATTTAATTCTTATATTAATTTTTTTGATAATTCATCATTAATTCAAAGACTTGAATTGTATAATTCCGTATTAATAAATAAAAATTTAACATCGTTTATAAATGATGTTGTTATCTTTATTAGAAATTCTTCATTTAGTATAGATGGAATTGTTGTTGACATAATGAGAATAAAATCTCTTTCTAACGCTTCATTGTTTAATGTTTCGAATATTTACACAAAGTCATTAACAATTAATTCTCTTTCAATAGACTATCTTGTTAACATTACTTCAAATCTTGTCACATTAATAGATTCAAAAATTAAAACTAAAATAAAGAATGTACATGCACAAACAATTAATATAATTCATTCATCTATATTTTACTTTAGAAAAAATACAATATAATAAAATGGTTATTATATCTCTGATACACAATGTCTTTACTAATAACTTTTTTGAAAGCAGTGTTATGTTTTTAAATTTCAATTCATTACTTATTGATTATATCAATTTTCATAATGAAGACTCTTTCTATTCCAAGTTAAATAGATTAAATAATTTATACTCAACTACTTTTGATTATAATAGCATTAAAACAATAATACCAGAAAATTTATCATTACTTAATCAAAACCAATTTCAATTATTTGTGTCAAATTCTAAAAAACATTTATTTCAATCAAACATATGTTCTAAAATGAATGAATTATGTCTTAACCAAAATAACACAAAAAGGGAAGATAATATTATTACTATTAATTTATCTAATTCAACTTTAACAGTGATTCAAAACACTACTATTAAAATAACTAAAGAAAATTCAAAAATCTTTATTCTAACTAAGAACCAAATTACTTTAACTTTTCAAAAAGTTTTATGTTCTTCCTCTGTTTACATTCATCCAATTGATTACTCTAAACCAACAATTATTGTTAATGATGTAGAAGAATCATGTTCTGATAAGATTTTTATTTCCTCATCTATTCCACTTATTTTATCACCAATATCAACACCAAAAGTAAAAATAAATTGTGGTTTGTTAGCTATATCATCAGCCTTATTAAGAAATTTAATATCAGAAGACCCTTATGACTATGATCTATTTTTCTCTTTTTCTGAACTTAAAAAGAATATATGTCCTCCATTCATTTGTGTTTCTTCTAATGGAATATCTATTTCTTCAGATAATATTAATATTAAATGTTCTAATGCAAATAAATTTACTTCTGATAGATCTAGTGTTTATGTTGATAGAATAGACACTCCTCTCTATGGAGTCTTTCATGATGTTATAGTTTCAAATAACGTTCAAACAATTAGTTGGGTTGGTTTGAGTATTGATTCTAATTCATACGATATTTCATACATAACAAATTTAAGAGTGGCACCAAAAACATATTTTTCTATAAGAAAGCTTAATCTTCATATAACAAAAATATATGGAACAGAACTGTCATTATCTCTTATTGAATCTATAGTTGAATGTACAACACATGCCTCATTTCTTTTATTAAAATTAGAAGATTTTTCTGAATTTAAATCTAAAGATTTAGATGTTCAGAAAATAATCTCTTCATTTGGTACTCTTATTACTTCAGAAAGTCTTACTGTTGAAACAATAGAATACTCCCTAAATTGGGATAAACAAAATAATAATCCTATGATTAAAATTTCTTCTTTAATACTGAAGAATGAGTCTATTGTTAATTGGGTTGTAGTAGATTCTATTGTAACAACAAAAGAAACAATTCCATTGTTAGTTGTTTCTAATGGCATTCAATACCAACAACCAACATTAAGTTTTATCCATTGTGATCAAAAGGTATTATTTACTTCTGGGACTACCCAACTAAATGGTATAAAGTGTACATTCTTTGGAATATATAAGACATGTGTTTTAGTTAAAGAAAATGCAGATTTATTATCTTCTTATGATATGTTACAAAGTAGTGCCCCAACTTGTCCTTGTACTTCTGATAGTCTTGATGGATGTACTATTATTATCAAAACAAGTTATGTTTATGGAAGTATTAATACAAATAACTTGGAAATAAACCTTACAACATCATTCGATTTAAAGTCATTATGGATAGATGACACTTTATTTGTCTTTCAGAATATGTCAATTCAATGTAAGTCAACTTATATTAAATCTATTCAAATTCCAGAAAATAGATGTATTTCATTTTTTTCTAATTGTCAAATCGGAAGTATTTCAGGGAATGGAGAGTTTGTAAGTTCAAGAAACGTTATTGTAGATACTGTTTATCAAACAAGAATGATAGTAAATAATATAAACGTCAATAAACTTTTCTCTCCTTCATTTATTCTTTTAAATAATACAAAAATTAAACTCCTAAATGGTAGCTCCTTCTCAATGAAACAAGGTATTCTAGAATATATTCATCAATTGGAACCACCAATTAATTATCATTCAAGAGAGTCATTCACAATGTATTTAACCAAATTCATTAATTTTCCAATGAACACATGCTTTGAACTTGCAGAATTTAAAACACTACCTCAAACAATTATGATTAGTTCATTTTCTCCAAATACCTTTGATTTAGAAGTCGCATGTAAAAATAAGGTCATTGTTTGCAATAATCCAATGACTCTCTTTAATTGTGGAATTCAAAGATGTGTTGTTATTCATCCTGATGAGCCTTTGGATTCTAGTAAAGCATATGATGCTTTAAATTGTCCATGTGGTTTCACAGAAGTACAATCAAAATACAGTCATGAATTATGTTCATTAGTAGCAAAAGATATACAAGTCTTAGAAAATATGAGAGGAAATTTTCATTCAATTGAAGTGAGTGATAACACTGTTTTCATGTTAGATGGTCAATTATCAATTTCAGAGTACTATCCTGTATCTAACCAAACATTTAATGGTAATAATAATTATGTAACATTAGATATTCATATAATTGGAAATCAAATGTTTTCTATAAACTTGAATGTAGAAGCTACCGTATTTCTTAATGCAAAACAATCAAAATTTTTTATTACAAAAAATATTATATTTGATACAATTCTAACAGACAGTATCTACATAACATCTTCAGCAATGTTGACACTACCTAGTAATGTTCCAAGTAATTTTATGATTAATATTACTAGTCAACATATCAATATTCCAAATGGTATTGAATGTTTGTCAATGTTAATTTATTCCAACTTCTTTGAAAGTCCATTATTCATCATTGGAAATGAAAAACCATTTAAAATGGAGTCTTTTGAATTTGATGGAATGGCAAAAGGTGTAATTGTCAAAACTTCTCAAAAGAACCTTGTAAAAGTTGATTCATTAAAAAATATTTATATTGATGATGAACAAAGATATCTTACAACCGAAGAAATACCAAAAACACGAGTTGTGTGCAGATATGATAATGGATGGAAAAATGATAATTGTCCTTGCAAAGGGATTTATTGTCACATTATCATTTATTCATCAATAATAAATGAACCACTAATTAACATATCCAGATTAATTATTGAAACAAATTGTAATCTTCAAAAGACAGTAATTGCTCATTCTGTTGAGTTAAATGCTAATGCAACATTTACTGATTGTATAATAACAAATCTTAATGTTTTTAACAAAGACTTAATAATATTAAGACTTAAATCTTTTGTTATTGAAAAAATTACCAGAAAAGAAACTATCCCTCTTATTATTAATTCAACAAAAGAAGGTGATATTATTTTTCTTGAAGCTCCATTACTTTATCTCATCACTAATGAACCAATAAAATTTAAACATATAATATCATCCAACCTAATCATGTATCAACAAACTAATAAAATGATTATGAAAGGAATTAACTCTATTATAGAATCAGATAATGTTGTTATTTTCGTTTCATCAATACTACATAATTTTATCCTTAAGTCATCAATTATTCCACCTCTTGATGTGATATCTGTTTATAGCAGAGAAAATAATACTATTAAAAGGTTGACATTTGGATATGTTTTTGTATTATGTTTTGATTATTTGTATATTTCAAACTCTACAAAACTACCAGTATGTCCAACAGACCAACTTACAAATGAAGATGAACTAACAAACCAAAAACAATTATGGTACTTAGTGTTAATACCTATATTTTGTATACTTATTTTATTTATGATAAGTATACTGGTGTGTGTGTATAAGATATATCAAAGAAGAATACAACGTCGTCTTCGAATTTTTTAAGTTTCAAACCATTTTCATTTATATTGAAATATTTACTTTATATTTGTATTTGTATATATTAAAAAATATTCTTCATACTTAACATAAAAATACTATTCTTGGAATTTTAAATTTTATTGTAGATGATACAACTAACTAATTAGAATAGGCTATAAGAGTGAATTATTTAATTAATAATAACATTAAACAGTCAAACACACATGAGTTTTTGTTATATATTCCATTTTAATAATTCCTTTAAAATAAAAAAAATTCAAAAAGAAAAGAAAGAAAGACAAAATGAAGAAAAAACAGTCTTTTGAGATTTTAAAGATTTGGTAGGCGATCTGCCTATCACAAATGAAGTTGTTATTTGTCTTATTCATTAGTTGTGTATTTGCTATTAAATGTAAAGACTTTAAAAACATTCACAAAAATACAGACTATGTTTTCAAAAAAGCAGACGCTGACACTTACGTTTATTTCAATTTGTGTGGACCAATTACTACTAAGTTAGATGGGTATGATACTTCTGATGTATCTGTTCTTGCTTTTGTAGAAACTTATAAAGAAAAAATTGTTTTGGGAAGTACTTCAACTGAATCTCTTGAACTTATCAATGACGGTAAAACTCTTAGATTTACTTATGATGGAGATTCTAGTCTTCAATTATCTTCTCGTGTAGAAGTAACTTGTGGTACTGAAGACACCTCTTCTAATATTAAAGCTCAAATTGAAGGAAGTACTTTCATTTTCTCATTTACATCTCCTGATGCTTGTCCATCAAATAAAACATTCCCAATTACTGGTCTTATTTTGTGTATTGTTCTTTTTGTACTCATTGGCTTTTATATTATTATTACCGTTATTTTGAATATCTTTGTTTTCCATAAGAAAGGGTTGGAAATTATACCAAATTATCTCTTCTGGGTTGGTCTTCCTTCACTTCTTGTTGATGGTGTTAAATTCACATTTTGTTGCAAGAAAGCTGGATCTGAATATCAGACATTTGCCGTTTAAATTGATATGCTTTTAAAGCCATTAATTTTCCATAAATTTATTAAATGAAACAAGAATAATTAACACATAGAATAAAAACAAAACGTAATAAAAAAAGTAAAAGGGTAAGACCCAATAAAGATTGAGGAATGAATATAATGAAAAGTATTTAAAATTTTTTCTGAGATTAAAATAATGAATTTAATATAATTATAAA